CATTCTTCGTCCTCCTGATTGTGATAAAACGGCGCTTCTCCCTTCGCCTCGCTGTAATTCAAGCCACACGGAGCGCGAGGAAAAAGATGGACAGTCTGTGCGTAGCAGCCTCCAAAGCCGTTGCTGATTGACAATACGCTCTGTCTTTCCATCCCTCCGTAACTCCTTGCCACGACGAGGCCTGGCATCTTGTCCCACTGGCTGGCCCTGAAGGAAAACAATTACCAGAGAAGCGGAACAACAATACCCAGAAAACATCTGCTTGTGCCGGCTGGGGCCACTGACATGCCTGACTGTGTGTCCCTGCTGGCATTTCGATGGAGGACACATGCCCGCCTGGATACGCAGAGGGGCCCCCGAGAGTACTCCTGCTTCTCGAGGCGCCGTGCCGATCCACCTGCCTCTCCGACTGCATGTCTGCCTTCTCTGGCAAACGGCGGCAGCTCCGTCGGAACAGATGAGGGCCCGCCTGTCGGAGCAGTTGTTCGTTTGGGTGATACCCTTCTGCTTGGATGAGAGCGCGCACCAGTATGGCCTCTAAGTTGAAGGCAGACAGGGAGGTGATGGAGATGGCACAATCGGCCCCATATGATGCTGCCTCCCTCAATGTTATGGCTCAGCTCAGCAGATTGGAAAGCCCCATTTAGGCTAAACACTGCACACAGAGCTCGGCAGAAAGACTGTACATGACTGCACGCTGTAGAATAAACATATACTGCATGGCACCTATTGGAGGTTAATCATTTCCTCCCGACACACACACACACCCCAACACTCCTGCTTCCTGACATAGTGGACCACAGAGCAGTTACATGCCCCTGAATTTCTTTTTATCATTTGAAAGAGTGTGGTTTGGTGGGTATCACTATGTCTTTTCGATTCAAACTGAGTTGGTTCAAACGTGCCTTATTCCACTCGGTGTTTATTGAGTTTATGTTGCCACCTTGTGGCCATCATTGAGGTTTACTGATAATCTCTCTGCTGCTATAATTCCCAAACAATTGGTTCCCGATGTTGGGCTGGAATCCCCCATGGGCTCTCAAGATAAATCACAGGGGGTCACAAGATAATGTAAGAGATCATTCTTGTCCTACAAATGAAACAATTTGAAAAGGAAAAGTTCACCTTTTAGTTGAGCGGCTCATAAAACAGGTCGTCACTTTGTTTTAAGCCAAACACGATGGAAAGCAGTCAAAGAGGAAAAAGAATATTATTACGTTACATATCAAAAATAATGTTAGATGTACATGGGGTATAGTAGTAGAAGTATCAATGAGGTCAAATTAAATTAGCTTAAGTTAAACTGCAAAGCATTACTTTAAAGAGAATTGTATATGGTTGTAAATTCATCTCCACAGGCGAATTCTGACAGCGCACAAATTACATTTTCAAAGAGGTGTTGGTCGATCACTTTACTATTACTACACTTATTATTATTGAAGAGCAATGTATTCTTTACACCGTGCATGTTACATAATACTTATATTTTCACTCACAGCAATTGCACCGCCTGTTCAGCTTTCACTGGCCTGACTTCACCTCACCTCCAGCAGGGTAGGTCGGCTCCTCCTACGGAGCTTCTGCTGCTTTCAAGTACTGTAGGACATACTAATGATACGCTGTTTTTGAGCTCACTGGTGTTTGTGCAAATCATATCTTTTTAGTGTCAGCTCTTAGTTCTGGAGCAGGGGTGCCCACACTTTTTCGACTTGCGAGCTACTTTTAAAATGACCAAGTCAAAATGATCTACCTACATTAAAAATGCTGAATACCTGAGGACCTGCTGGAGACTGAGCGTCGCGTTCAGACTAAAACTACCACCGAGGAGGAGATGGAGGTATTTAACTATTATCCACCAAATAATTCAGTTCAGAACAGTTTTAAGGCCTTAAATCCATCAATTGCCTAATTCCCAAACTCAGGTGCAGGTGAGATTTGGGTGTGGCTATAATTACCACAGTACACGGGATGCAACAGATTAGCGTTTGAATATGAATTTGCAAACATAGACAGCTTAACAATGTTAAAAGGATCATTTGTGGAGTTACTTGCAACAGCTTAAACTTTTGTTGTGACATGTTTCATGTATGATTTAAAATATCTGCAAAGCAATAGACAAAATTATTTTTTTTAATATACAGTCAATCATTACTGCTAATGGGTCATAATGTGTGGAGTTTTGTGAAAACTGTGCCATGGAAAACATGATGAACGCTGGACTAGCAAATAGTGAATTCATAAAAGGAGACATTATCTGCCTTTGAGAATAGAACAGAATAGAATAGAATGCTGGATGGAGCTGGAACACAGCAGAGTTCTGAATAAATGAGAATGTTGAGGTGTCATCTTGTGGATGAAGCCGGGTGCTGCACAGAGGACAGCTGGACAGCTCTGAGGTAAGCCACAGGCAAAACCACTGCTCAAAATTTGTAGTAAAGTATTTTATTTTATTGTTTTGGTCAGGCTTCCTGGGGGGCTCCCTGTTGACGTGAAGGTCTATCATCTGGCAAATTGGCAGACGAACTTCAAGCTTTTCAACCTCCCTTCAGGCTTCCGGTGTCCGATGTAGGCTGCTGGGGTAAGATACTGGCACCAAACTCCTGTCGTGTAAAGCAGTAGCATATCTGACCTGTAACTTTGGATTCAGAATAGACTTTGACTGCTACCACTTTTCATAATTTGGCTCAGGATGTTTGGTGCCACCATGATGATTTTAGGATTACCAAATCCCTCCTTGAATGTCAAATTGTTAACATTGATTATTTACTGAGAGTAAAGTACAGTAAAACTTAGAGAGCTTTGCTTATAGGAGGGATATTTTGAAACATAGTATTTATAATCATACAGTTGTAAAATAATTAACTAACTATGTAAAATATTGGGATTTACTCTAACCTCCTACATTAGGACAGTGTTTGTATGCTCTCATTCTCTCACAAGTTTCTATGGATCATCGTTATATCTGGACACTGGTCTTGCCTCGAACGTAGTTGTGACATATGCAAGAGTAATATCCCTGGTTGCCCTGATCGTGACAGTGAGCGTGATCTGTCGGGGAGAGGCAGTCACGTATCTCCTGAGTGAGAGTCCTGCACGGTGACATGTCGCTGTGTTGGGCTGCTGTTTCAATAGTATCAAAAAAGGGGATGGCCAGTCTTCAAATCATGTGCCAACATGCGTTAGGGTACTTCCGGTGTCCGATGTACGATGATGGGGTAATATGCTCTCACCAAACTCCTGTCGTGTAAACCAGTAGCATATCTGACCTGTAACATTGGATTCAGAATAGATTTTGTCCGTTAGCACTTTTCATAATTTAGCTTAGTATGTTTGGTGCTACGATAATAATTTAAGGATTAACAAATCGACTTGAATATCAAATTGTTAGCATTGATTATTTACTGAGAGTTAAGTACAGTACAACTCAGAGAGCTTTGCTTATAGGAGGGATATTTTGAAATATAGTATTTATAATCATACAGTTGTAAATGAATTAACTATGTAAAGTTTGAGGATTTACTCTGACTTCCTACATTAGGAGAGTCTTTTTATGCTCTCATTCACTCACTCATCTCTCTGGCTCCTACTCTATCAGCTGACAGTGGGCGATTTCGCCACGGCCTCCCTCAGCCAATCATATATTTTCTGTCAAACTTTAAAGACCTGTTCTCTTCTGTGCAGTCAGCTGTCATTTCAGTACGAACCGATGTGACCCTCCTCCCCATTCATCATCACATCCGGTGCTCAAGGTTTCTTCCACTGAGGGCAGTCCCACTCAAACATGCCATCATCTAGATCTTCAGCCTGCCCCTACTGTCTTCAACAACTCCACCAGCGTCGACTCTCCAAAATTTTTACTTTACTTTGCACAATTTAATAAATGTATTTGTTCACTGTAAATTAAGTTTCTCCTGATTTAACAACCTGTGTCTCCCTGTGTAAGTGTGTCAATTATCTCCCGGTGGCTTCAGTTCTCCTATTTATTATGTTTTTTGTGATGTATGTCATGTTATTTCAAACTAATTTGCAATCATAAGAAGCGTGGTCTTTGTTGGTGAAATGTTTCTTATATACAAAGAACAATTACTTATCGTAAAACTCCAAATATATAGTAGAGTAAAATGTTTTAGGTGTGTTTTCTAGGAACTACAGGTCTGATGAGGAAAGTGGGAACAGGTGTGTAGGTGGGAGGGGATGTCATGTGACCAGGACTGGCAGGTCTGGGGAGTGAGCAGGGGCTGGAGAGAAGGACAGAGAGCCAGGACAGGCAAAACCACCAACCCACTACAAAGTCTCTGCCCTCCCTCGAACTTCTCAGACAGTTTAAGAGAGTATGTCTGGTTTGCTTTTACAGTGTTACTGTCAATTTATACATACATATGTATGTATATTTATATGTATATAGTAACAGTAACATATTTATAATGTCAAATATATATAAAATATTACACAATAACACAACAATGCCATGCTTTGTTTGTAGTTTATGGATACTAGAAGGGACATGGAAAGGGAAAACAAAAGATTTTGTCCTGGGGCTCCAAAGTATTTGCTTTTTTCATTCTGCCACCTAATTTATTTACTAATGAACTAGACCGACAAGCAAAAAGGGTCAATATGAAGTTTCCAACAAGGTGTCAATCTTATTTGTGTTTATCTTTTGTTTTGCTTTAGTAGGACCTTTTGTAAAGCCCTTATGTTGAACAACTCAGTGGTTTGCACATAAAGGCTGTAAACTTAATCTCATTTCCCCTTCTAGTTTCTGATGAAGATTCATATCAAAAGTGCTTCGACTTGCATCTTAAATTGTGTTTGGACAGGTTGAAGCACGTCTTTGCGTTTGCAAAAAAAAACAACAACTTCTTTCTCTAGGATACAGGATCTTTCGAGGAGCACCTGAAGGCACCGTTTTTGACTCCGTGTGATTGGGAGGTGGGAGCGAGGGAGGAGTGTTTGGTGACAGCGCGCGCCGGGGACACGCCCCGCTGTGACAGAAGCAGCAGCAGCAGCGGGTCGTGCTCGTGCGGCTTTGACACCGTGCACTGCCTCCTGAAGTGTCTCGCGGCCGCTCTGCTCAAAATTCTGACGGAATAACTTCTCATACAACCAAATTAACCGGCTGCCTGTTGTTCTGCGGTCGCGTTCCGTGTCAGAGCAACAACAGAGATGTAAAGCAAGTTGCACTACCGCATCCTCCTCTTGATATGCTTCTGACATAACGAGGAGCCAAGAAGTGACAGAGGTATTTCGGCATTACTTTGCGACTTGTTTATGTTGTTGTGCCTCCGCCATGCGCCGTTGAAGCTATACCGTTATAACACAGACAGCGGCGCAAGGTTGCCCTGTCGGCGGCGACAAGCCCTCGGTATGGCGTTTAGAAGCCGCGACAATATGTTGTTAGAGTTGTTTTTTTAAGTCTTTATAAGTTAAATAAAGTTAAATGCCCATTGGTAACTGCAGCTTCATTTGTCGCGAATTGAGGGCAAAGCAGGCGGATGCACATTAGCAACTCAGGAAGGAGCCAACTTAGAAGTGTTTGCAACAGTCGTCCTACAATTTAGTGCCGACCCTGCGCCTCACCTGCTGGGCAACTATTGGTACATAAACGATGTTTGTATCGTAAAACAATAAACTAATGTCATATCAGTTTTGTCATGTTAGTCTCAATTAGCGTTTTTTTATATCCGTTCTTCAATATGCAAATATCTCGCCCGAACACGTGCGTTACACACGGGTTAATTAGCGTGGGCCGACAGGTGCGTTCACCTGTGACATCAAGGCGCCGAGTTCCGCAGCCTGTCTCGCTGCTCTCGATGTGCTGCGTTCAAATGTTGAGCTTAACGTCCTTCGGGACGTGTATTTATGAGGCGGCTCATAGTCGAGGGGACGACCAGGTGACCTCATAACTGATGGATGGCGGGATGCACAATGAAGCAACTCAATGCTAAACATCAGCCGGGCCGCTGATCTCAGATGGATAGTTTATGATCTGTCCTTCGGACGAGGCGACTTCTCTGCTTAATTGTTTAGGGACTTAAAGACAGGCGCACATGCATTGATACCTCTCTAATGCATTTCTTTTGCACCCAGCCCTCATGTTGCTCAACACAAACAGGCTTAGATATTGGAGTAGTGTTTCTTATGCATCCTTCAATGCATAGATGATATTAGTTATTACTCAGAAAAAAAAGTCAGGTTTTGATCTTTCACTGTCGGAGCCAGATATGAGGTCAAAGGTCGGGATCAGCTGCAGTACAGCGCTCTGAATATTACTTTTCTTCATATTCATATATATTCATATTCATATTCATTTTGTGCAGTCAACAGGTCTTTTGGGGCTCGGAGGGGTTTGTAACTGAATGAATTCATGCAGATGTATGTACAGTAAGTGGCAGCCACAGATTGGTTAAAATAGTCCTTTTTTCCTCAACAGACGTTTTGACTCGTCAAAAGCAAAGGTGAAACACATTTTGTTAACTGTAGCTCAGTTCCAGTAAGCCGTGACAATCAGCCAGCATGCACAAAACCAGCTCCCTGGAACTAGCTTGCCTAACCGGAATACAACAATCACTCAATGTTGTTATTATTAATTACACCGGTGCTTTCCCGGCTTTGACATGTCAAACATGTCCGCGTGAATAAGGTGTATACTTTACTTTTCTGTATCCGGAGTTCTTAAACAGCTGATTTTTATGTCTTAGTTCATTCTATAATAAAGATTTGGGTTTGATAAGAATGATGTTGCACCAGCACGTATTTCTTCATTAGGTCTATGTGTTGTCATGCATTGAAATGCATATAGTGCTGAACTATACAGTGTGTAATGTTTGAGGACAAAGAAATCCGGGGGCCAGAATACATTAACATTTCATTTATTTGACCAACCTTTTCCACAAAGCTGCAGTAATGATGATAGTGGGCGGAAGCTTTAGGCAAAGTCTCTAAAATACATATAAACAAAACAAATATGAGGTATACTTATGTAAATGCTAAGCTAAATACATACATAAGGTTGATTTCTATTATCTTCAGTGTATTGAAGTTACCCACATTTACATACTTTTGTAAATCCTTGTTTTTCCTTTTTAATAAAGTAGATGTGTTGCTGCTAACTACTGTGCTTTAGTCTCGCAAAAGTTTCAAAAGTGTGTGTGTGTGTGTGTGTGTGTGTGTGCGACGGTTGTGAGAACCATTCTACGAATCCTTTGCGTGTGGTCCACCTGTCTAATTCACCCCACCTTTTCCCACCGTATCCTCCTCCATCTTGCTCTTCCTTTTTCAAGGCACTGCAGAGGAAGATGGATGTCCAGAGTGGCGTTCAGCAGCCGGAGCCCCGCCCTCCGGGCTCTCCTCGGTCAGGGGCCAATCAGCAGAATGAGTTGGACGACAGACAGACGGATGCCAGCGGCCGGTCCTCCCCTGACAGCCACAGTCAGGATGCGCAGCCAGCAAACCAGAGAGACGACAAAAAAGTAAGTTGCAGACTCCTACTGCTGCACATCTGCAGCCGCTGCCGTGTGTGTGTGTGTGTGTGTGTGTGGGTGTGTGGGTGTGGGTGTGTCTGTACATGTGTGTGAAGAGTGATGAGATCATGCCTGTCTGCTGAGCTATTCTGGATGGTATGTCCCATACTTTCACATGGAGAAAGTCCCACTCAGTCACACAGTTATGTCTTGTATTGCTGCAAAGCCAAGTTGCAGTGCGGTTTTTTATGCAGTAAGGAGCATTGATGAGTGCAGAAAGTTAAGGGTTAACTCGTGCTGGAAGGAGCCGTTTGCTCAGTCGACGTCGTCGCAAGAAAAAGTGAAACTGTCGGTACTTTTGGCTTTGGTGGTTTCAAAGGAAGGACGTAGTGTGTTGTCACGTTGCTATGAGTTCAGAGTACATACACCAGTACTACAAACCACGGCTGTGTCATGTGCATTTAGAATTGCTTCGTATTACATCAAACCTAAGTGGCTTGTGCACGTCTCCACGCGTGAGCGCCGACTTTCAAACATATCAACCCTCTGCCATCTTGGAGCCAAGAGTGACTGAACGGTCCTCGCTGGCTCTCCTCCAGCTCAAGGACGTCAATCATGCTGCTCTGGCAGGAGCCAGAACCGCTCTCCGTCAATCTGCGGGAGAGGCTTCTATAGGCACAACAGATATACAAAAACGTTCACCAGATAGCTGGACTGACTGCTACTGGCAGTTCTGAATGGGACACTTGTCATGGCTTACTCATCCAGAGTTCTTTTGAGCAGGCTCGACACAACACTTCAGTGTCTTCATATTGGGAAAGAAAAAGGGCTTTTGAAGCATTTAGGTAACATCAAAAGCTCTTGAAAATGAGAAATAAACAAGATTAATATGCTTCATTCATGAAATGCTGCATTAATGTGCAGTCAAACTCAAATAAAGATACTCCCATAATTAGATTATGCATTGGTCGGAGGTGCAATGCTGTTTTGAAGTTGCCTCTCAAGGTCATATTGTCTTTATATGACAAATACACATTTTGTCTGTGCTGAATGAGCCCCAGGATTCAATATACCCCACCTCATGACTCCCTGACTGCACTCTTATCTCGCATCATATTTGTTGATCCGTGACAGAAAATTACGTGTGAAAAAACTGGAACCGAAATTTTGTATTGTCAGTTTTTTTTGTGTCAATCTGGTGCAACATTAGCATTTGGCGTTGTTCTCCTACTTTTATGTTCCACTTGGAGAATAAAAGCTACAAGCTAGTTAATTTCTAGCTTGCTCCCATTGGCACCATTGTATTTCGGATCACAGCACATACAGACTCTCCGAGTAACGCAGGGAATTTGGGAAAAAACATCTTGGGGTCGAAACCCCTCAGCAACCGTGCATTTCATAGAAGATTACTCAAGAAAGATCAGGATCAGTCGTCCTTTTTAAGGGTTGAACAGAAGGTGGTGAAGCTGACCATGCACTTTGACCTCCCTTTGCTCTGGACCCTGACCTGTGTGTTTATGGGAGGGGCAGTACACAACCTCTAAAGCGCCCCAAGGGATTACTTCTCGCAGCCTCCCTCACCGTGATGGGGTCGGTTTGTGCTCATTATTCTGCAATTAGCTTTGTTGGAATCGTCAGAGCATCAGAGGACCACCACTGGTGATGAGCTACTCTGCTGATCTGAAATATTGAACTAATTGGTGTCAAAACAGCCTGCTGACCTTTAACCCGTTAACTGCTCTGGAGAAATACGTCGGCGAGCACAACGCCTCACGACCGCACCTAGTTAGCCCGCTGATCCTGCAACTTTTAACAGTGTGTGTGAGTGTGTGTTTATGTCTGTGCAGTTTTTTTTTCATCTCGTGTGTGTTAAACAGAGCGATCCATCCCTCGCTGTGGTAATTTGTTTTCTTTCCATTAGAAGTGAGTCATTGGGGATTGAGCTTTTAGGTGTGGAGAGGAATAGTCGTACCAGTGATTATTGCTGTTATTTGATTACACAAATGAGAGACATTCAGGATTAGAGGAAGATAATTATATTAAATTGCTCCGACTGAAGACTTTGTGTGCACTTCCTAATGAGCGATCAGAAAATTAAAATCCGTGCAGATGTCATTTAGTCAGGATTGGAATCAATTCAATAAAATCAACTTGTGTGAGCGCAAGTCAGATAAGTGGAACTTTTCTTGACTTTGCGATGACTTGTTGTCCAGATGCTCTTGAAGCATTTGCCTAATTGCTTCTCATTCATCATGACTTAAGTTCACTGGGAAAGCAGATGGCTTCTCACCTTGCTTGGTAATTCGGCCTCAGCGGCAGATTGACACGTTGGGATGTGATTCACTTTGATTGCTAGTTGGGTTTTTTGTGTGTCTTTTTATAAAGCTTAAAAAGCGATGTTGCCTGTAAACTCTCTTGTTTTTGTTTTTGCTGTAGGTTACAGGTTGATCGAAATAAAGATGTCGGGTAAAAATTGTAAGTTCTAGATTCAAGTCAACAAATGTGTGCCAGGGAAAGTTTTTGTCTTCTCCATCAGCCTTGCTGGAGTGAGCAGAGTGCAGTGAGTTGAGGTAAATATGGACAGACATCCCCCCCCCCCCCCCGCTGTCCTCCACACTACAGATTACCTCGGTGGTGGCTGGCGGGGCCCAGATAATCACCTTGTGTTATTTCTCCTCCCACACTTTGCTTTTGAAGTCGTGGCTACTTGGCCGCCTCAGCTCTAATAGCATCCCGGCACGCCATCGATCCCACAGCCCTCCTCCGGATACCAATGGGTGGTGGAGGTGGGTTGATGGGTAGTGGAGGGAGCAGACCAGGAGTCTGCCCCATAAGCCTCTGCAGATTTCCTAAAGCACGGGTTAATCAATATTCTAGTATGCCTGATAATGGAAACGGCACAATGCACAAATGACTGTAATATGCACATTAAAGTGAGATGTGCTCTTTGCGAGCGGACGAATTGAGAACTGGCACCTCGTCAAATACTTGTACATTTACAGACGCAAATGTCAGCCTGTTTTTTACTGCAACTAATTGAGCCTGATGAAACCAGAGGAGTTCTTTTCGTCGAGCATCCAGCACGGCAGTTCAGAAGATTCACAGTAGTAGAAAAGTAAAAAAAAAAGTCCTTACCGCTCAGTTTAGTTGAGGAAATGAGTGGCTTCTCTGCTCAGCTGTGTCAGGAGAGTCAAATAAATAGTAGCTGTAATAGTTTTAGATATGCTGGGACGTCTTAATCCTTTGACAGCACAAACATTCACTGCCAGGCAGCAGCCTATTTCAAGGACAATGCCTTTTGGAAACGATTTCCCTGCAGAGAGGTGACGTGTAACTTTAAGTGTGATGCCAGAGAGCTGCAGATACAGTATAACTGTATGTGATAATCACTTTACTGTAACGCTATCCTCAGCTTTATTGGCAGCTCTTTGTTTTTAGTTAATACAACTATATTTCTAAACAATTCTGTCTTGAATATACTGTGTGGTCTTAATACCATGATGAGTCAAATTGTTTGCTGTAGGCTTATATTCAAACTGTCCTTGGGTCTATGACATGTGTCCCACCAGTACCAGACACATACTGGTACTGCATTTCATAGACAAAGAGAACAGCGAGGACATGTTCAAAGCTCCTCCAAACATTAAGTTCTAAGTGTTGCCAGGAATTAAACAGACAGCTTGATGAAACCTCTGCAGAGTGCTAATTTGGCAAAACTGTAATGAAGCGCTTGCAGGATCACTTCCAAAAATATCCAGTCTCGAGTTGAGGTGATGCAGCATTTACATCAGCACCTGACGTGGAAACGACTGCTGTGTTTGACAGTAAATACATTTATTTTTTACTTCGAGAGCTTGTGCCTCTCTCACACAGAAAAGAATGTACTACATCCAATCAGGTGAGGTGAGGTAAATACAGGGTCTCCTGAGGGTCCAGAGCAGGAGGTAATTGGGTTAGCTCCTCCTGGTTTGGTGAGGTCAGGCCTTAGTCCATGATCTCGTGTATTAGGGACGGATGATCATTAGTGAGAAGGTGAAAGAGCATTCAAAATTGATTTAAAAAAAAAATCCTTTTGTGTGTGATCACTGCATGGAGGCCTAAGGTAAACTCAAGCTTGCCAGCCGCATGTGGACTTGTAAGGATGATGTGCATTTAAATGCACATGGAACCTCTGCTCACATAGTTATGGTGGAACATTTTGTTCAGATCGCTCTTTCTCTCAGAAAACTGTCCAGTAGATTCTTTAGAAACGGCAGACGGCAGGAAATGCTAATCAGTGCGACCGCTCTGCTATTTCATGCGTTTCACGACTAGCTCTGGCTATTTGTAGACTTTATTTGTGTTCCTGCTTACTATTTTAGTCCACTGGCTCTTTTTAATCTGTCATACAGAAGAAGAGGGGATGATCAAGCATGTCAAATGCGTATCGTGTAGTCATGTATCAAGACGCAACCTCCTTTAGCGGCTCTATTTATCTCTCATCAGTGCATTTTACTCCTCTGAGCAAAGCCTACTCTTGGTACAAAGACACATGGGCACACACACACACGTGCGCACACACACACACACACACACTCTCTCTCTGAACACTACCAGAAGATCACAGGGACCTTATTAACTGCTGTCACACCACATTTATCCCTCATCTGTTTCTGGGAGCTGTCGTGACCAAAAGGTTGCTCTCTGCTGCAAAGTGGGAAAGTGGGCTTCTCACTGCGTTTTTCATTCTCCGTAATGGAGAGCGATGGCACGGGCCGCAGCCATCTCTATCTGTGGCCCTGTCCAACCGGGGCCGGTTTCTGCCCGAAAATACCCCCCGCTGTCAGCTCGCCTTAGTTGCCGGGCCCACTGAGAGTCAGTTAAGGGGGATCAGTGCTCGCCCGAGTGTGTTTGGCTCAGTGGTAAGACACATTGCTTTGATGGGATCACCGACAACTCCTAATTCCCCCCCCCCCCCCCTTGACAACACATTACCTAAGGGGCTCATTGGACCTGCCTTGACTTCAACA